CATTTTGTGGATAAAATTTCGCATTTGAAGTTCCTCAGTCGATACGCCACGTTAGTGACGTATTCTCAATGTATATTTTTCTTTATGTTTCCGTTTGGTCTAAAACTCCTACTCCTACGATCAGTTATACCGTATACTACATAGAGATATCCTTACACTACACCACGTCTAAATCCAAATCAAATTCAAAGTCATTCAGTATACAGCTATTCCTAAAAGTTTCTAAAGTGTGTTCTGCTTTAAAGGTATAAATGTACAGTAAATTCAGCTGTGTTCGAAGCACCTGGTATCCCGTGAGTCCCCCAAGTTTACACTTTCGAGGGAAATCTCATGAGATTTAGGTAACCCTGGATCTAAGCTACGACAAGAACGCATCAATGCTTTACATACCTGGAGTAAGGAGATCAAGTTCTAGGAAGTAGGTTACGTTGAAATACCCATAGCTGTACATGAGGCATGAGCTTCGAAAGGCTTTAATCTCAGTATATTGTTGGTGATTTAGTGATAGATATGTGATTTTATTGTAATAACTACCGATATCGAAGGGTTCTCGTGAATCTGTAATCGTAAAAAATTTCGGAAAGGCGCTATTATACAGGGTGTTTCAGTTTATTGTTGCATAACTTTAAGATTCCATAGAACTTTTAAAATTAATGCATAAAGTCTATATAAATATGGGTCGAAAAATGCGTGGCTTCCGAAATACAGGGTGTTTAAATTTACTTTCTAAAATAGTTTTTTTTAAATATTTCGAACAATATTTGATGTATAACAGTGAAAATTTTTATACAAGGGTTTTTTGGTACGACAAAACGAACCATGGGCATAGTTTTCTGTAGCCGCTAGAGGGCGCTCTCTACTGTACCTGTAGTGTATTAAAATGACCGAAAAATTTTTCTTAGTGCAATTTTTTGCTTTTTGAATAAAAAAACTGATTCTTCGCACTTTTCAACATAAAAATGCTCTCCTGTGAGTTTTCGTTATAGTTAGCCTTTTTTGAGATATTTCGATTTTTAGGTTCAATGCATTTTTAATTATTTATGGGAAAATAATATTTTTTTTTTACATTTTCGATTTGGGCATTACAAGTAATTAAGATGATCGTATAGATTGTGTTTTTAAACTCAGCAATAATTCCTAACTCCAAATAAACACAAAAAAACAGAATATTAATTTGTTTAATTTTCCAATATTATTTTAATAAATTAAATTAATTATTTAAAACTAACATGCTATTGGATAGTTAGGACAAACATACAAAATCTAAAGTAGTTGTTCGAAATGTAAACACAATTGTTCAATACACAATTCACATCTACGAATGTTCGAACGTGGTATAGCATTATTTAAATAAGGCCTTATTTCATCACATGCATTCCTGACTCTCTCTATTAGCATATCTCTTGTGGTTACGGGAGTCTGGTACACTTTTTCTTTTAGAAATCCCCACACAAAGAAATCTAATGGATTTAGGTCAGGGGATCGTGGAGGGCAGGCGACTGGTCCTCCACAGCCGATTCATCTTTCTGGATAATTTTCGTCCAGCCAGTTTCTAACTATTCTCTCGAATAATGAGCTGGACAACCATCAAGCTGGAACCAGGCCAATCTTCTTAAATCTAACATAACATCATCCCACATATTTGCATGTTCAGCCTTCAAAAATTCCAAGAAGGTCGCAGCATTTAACCATGCAGGCAAAAGGTAGGGTCCAAACAGTCGATTACGGTAGATACCAATCCACACGTTCACACTAAGTTCATGCTGAAAATTTCTTTCCCGAACTGCATGCGGATTTTCATGCGACCAAATATGTTGATTATGGAAATTTACCACTCCACGTCTAGTGAAGCATGACTCATCGGTCCATAAAACGTTACTTAAAATCTCCCTATTATTATCAGTTCTATCAAGAATCCACTGACAAAATGTGATTCTTCGTTCTCCGTCTCCGGGCTGTAGTCCTTGCACAGGTTGCAAATGGTAAGGACGTCTATGGTCATTTCTAAGAACACGGTGAACATGGCTTGCTGAAATTCCCAAGGCACCAGAAACTCTCCTAACACTTGCGGTCGGATCTCTATCAAACTCACGCAGAATCATACGGGTAAATCTGCGCTGACGAACGAACATTTATGTTTTGATCCCTTTGGAGATTTCCAAAACCATTTGCAATTATTTGGCGATGCACTCTTACAAATACTGAGCGAGTTGGATGTCGTCTGTTTGGAAATCTTCGTGCGTATTCTCTGGCTGCTTCTGCTGCGTTTCCATTTACAAAGCCACACACAAAATGAATATTCGCTAACTCTTGATTGGAGAATAAAAATGGCATTTTTATAAAGCTTACAAGAAAACAGGTAAAAGAAACTAAATTTCGTGCATTCACAATTGCAAAAAAAACGTTTAAGGTTTCAACAGACAACAAAACTAACCGTCAACTAATTGACGTTTAACCTTATTCTGCTTTCAATTTCAAAATATTTGCAGGCGCAGCCTACTTCTAAAAATTATCGAGATACTGACTTTTTAACGTTATTTTATCATAAATAATTAAAAATGCATCGAACCTTAAAAATCGAAATATCTCAAAAACGGCTATTTATCACGAAAATTCACAAGAGAGCTTTTTTATGTTGAAAATTGCGAAGAAACAGTTTTTTTATCCAAAAAGCAAAAAATTGCACTAAGAAAAATTTTTCGGTCATTTCAATACACTACAGGTACAGTAGAGAGCGCCCTCTAGCGGCCACAATACACTATTCCCATGGTTCGTTTTGTCGTACCAAAAAACCCTTGTATAAAAATTTTCACTGTTATACATCAAATATTGTTCGAAATATTTAAAAAAAACTATTTTAGAAAGTAAATTTAAACACCCTGTATTTCGGAAGCCACGCATTTTTCGACCCATATTTATATAGACTTTATGCATTAATTTTAAAAGTTCTATCGAATCTTAAAGTTATGCAACAATAAACTGAAACACCCTGTATTTTTTTAATAATATACTATATGTCACTCATTTCCGTCGGTCTGTCTGTTTGTCCGCTAATCCTTGACCACCGGTCGGATTTTGATGAAATTTTCACACAAAGTTACTTATATGCCGGGATCCAAATGGCTTTATAGTTTTTAAAAAGCGATCCAATGATGCCGGAGCTAGGAGCAAAAAAGTAGTAAAATAAGAATCCTTCAATCTTAAAATTTTAGAAATTTAGGGGTAAAAAATGGGATGCGGGGGGAGTGTATATCTCAATTCTCAGTAAATCTAACCACCTATTAGACATATTTCGCTCATTATAGATTTTCCCGTACATTTATACCCTAGAATGATGGACAGATATTTTCGACGCTTGCATGTCGATCATACGCTTTGCAGCCCTTCAAATGCATGTGGACGTGAAATTGTGGACCGTCCATCAACATCCACGCATAGTTTCGATTATGTGCGCCTGCTGAAATTTTCCTCAGGAGTGGAGGGTCATCCATCGTTGAGAAATAACTGTGTGAAAGCGTACCTGCCTCCAAAACTTTGAATAGCAAAGGGTAGCATATTTTCTCATGGAGCCAAAACCTGAGGAGCCCCAAAATTGAACAGGAAGGCATGCTAAATATGCACATTTTAATTGTATGAGCTTGTTTGACTAACTTGATACATTTCATTTTTTTGTTATTCATTAACGGAGATAACTTTTTTCTCAAAGGGGTCAACTTACGCTTAACATAATCCTTTATGAACTGATGTGAGAGTTATGTAGGAAGTGCAAAGCCAACCTAATTGACGCATTTTTTTATAAACAGCTCGTGTTCTGAGATGCATATTTGAGAGTGTATGTTTTGAATGTACAGAATGCTATAATGATTATTCTCATCTTTGTACTAGATCGTACGAAAAGCTTAGTACTTTCACGGATTTTTGATTCCTTGATGGGTATGGATATCGAAATAGACATTCTCAGAAAATATTTATTCTTGAACAAGGGGTCGATGAAGAACCCGGCCAAACTCCAAAGCGGTTAAAGAAAAAAGTCCTTACATGCGTACGTTTGGCAGTGTACCATCAGCGAGGCACATTGTGTTGTAAATTACTACTCGACTGACGACACTAATCGAGAAATCAAATAACAGTGCGGCGAGATAGGATTAGTCCCCTAATATACAACATAAAATATGCAATGTCTAACTTCTCTCGTTTAAGCATCGATTGAACAAGTGTGTTGATGTTAGTAGGGAATATGTAGAAAATGAAAATATGAGTTAAATGAAAGTTAAATGAAGCCTTATTGTAAATAAGTTGGGGGGGGGGGAGCATGGAGATCAACCCTCGTACCAGTTACTTAAGCTTGAAAAATTACAAAAGTGTGGCAAAGGTAATTCCTATTTTTCCTACGAAAAGATAACTCAAAAATACGTTTGTCTCAGTATTGGACGTGGCTAAAAAAGGAATTTATCTATAAAGGTGTGCCTGTTGTAACCACTCCCTGAAAGCTCCATTAGCGATTATCAGAGAAAAATAGCGATTTGCGTGTCGCACGCCGTGAATTTAGGAGGGCTGCGTAATAAAAGCGACAGCACGGTGTATATAACATGTCCGCACCACGCCTCTAAAACATTCTCTTCAACCACATTCAACACCGATCTTGGACGAGACATATGCACGCAACATGCTGATAGTGCAGGAGTAAAAGAAGGAATTGATTTTAGTTTGTAGCACACAGAACACCGGCTCAGATCCATGCTATGTATAGCGATACCTTGATGAATATGCGGGATATTCGACAGAAGATGTATGATTTCCAAACTGAAAAAAATTTCAACTCATAAAAAGTGTTGAAAACGAAGCACTAGATATGTTGATTTTCTTCTTCGCTTACTTTAGTGACTGATACTTTCTTTTAAGTCAGCGATATTCCGGAACATTAAGTTAAACTTTTCTCCCTCACTCCTCAGGAGTAGTATTGATGGATGTCAAACCTGGAAATCGCGGTGGCCATGCAATAAATACCACCAATGCAAACAATCGGACTACTTTCTTCAAAGAATGTTTAAAGTTTGTGCACGGTGTCAATTAAAATCGTTTTGTGACTACATTTTGTTTAAATAAAGTTGATTAAGCACAAGGTAAGTTGGTTTAGGCATAATATGGTAGAAATTTTAACGAGTTGCTTTGATATTTTTCATGATAACAAATAGAGTACTTGTTTTGTGTACCTTTTGTGTAGCGTGTAATATGGAATATTCCATATTATCCGCCCTATTGCTATCCCATATTACCCGCTAAGTATAAAGTAAGGTTTTTTTTATTTTCAGATATAATGGCTTCTCCCTTAAAGCAAAAGCGAAAACAATGGAGTGAGAAAGATATGGAAAACGCCATTGGATCAGTAAGAAACCAAAATATGGGTTATTTGGCGCAGCAAGAGCATATAAAGTTCCACGCTCAACACTTTTTCGCCTCTGTAATACTGAAGGGCCTCCAGCAACTGTTAGTAAAACGAAGTTGGGTAAAAGACTAATTTTGTCAGCAGAGTTAGAAGAGGAACTAATACGATATTTACTTATAATGGATCAGAAGTTTTTTGGTCTGACAAGAAGGGATGTTCGATCCTTAGCATTCCAACTTGCTAAACGTAACAATATACCACATCCATTCTCTCTTTTACGTGAATCTGCGGGAAAAGATTGGTTTTCATCATTCATGCACAGATATAAGAATACACTAAGTTTACGAAAGCCCACTGGAACTTCCCTAGCAAGAGCCGTTGGTTTTAATAAGGAAAATGTTACCGAGTTTTTCGACTTATTAGAGAAGACTATGGCGGAGCGAAATTATGGATCTCACCAAATATATAACGTAGATGAGTCGGGGTTGTCCATTGTGCAATCAAGATGTCCAGAAGTGGTATCGCTTAGAGGCAAAGGACAAGTTGGTGCTATCACATCTGCAGAAAGAGGTTCACTTATAACCATCGTAATGTGTATGAGTGCGGCAGGTGATTTTGTGTCGCCGATGATCATCTTTCCACGCAAGAAAGCCAGTGACCAGCTAAAAAAGGGGACACCTCCAGGATCGCTGTTTGCTTTTCACCCATCCGGGTGGATTCAAACAGACTTATTCACAAAATGGTTTGACCATTTCCTAGAAAAAGCCAAACCTTCAGCAGCAAAACCAATACTGCTGATATCTCATGTTACTATTTTATGCCCACCACCACATACGACGCATAAACTTCAGCCCCTTGATAAGACCGTCATGGGTGCATTAAAGACGTTTTATAACGAAGAAGTGAGAATCTTCATGAGGACGGAAAAACGTGCAGTAACGCATTTTGATATTTGCCAGTTATTTGGTAGCGCCTATCTTAAAGTGCAATCTGGGGAAAGAGCCGTTAAAGGGTTTATTGCCACTGGGATCTACCCTTTAAGAAGGAATATTTTTACAGAAGAAGAGTTTGCGGCCGAAATGCAAAAGGAAAATCAAAATTTGCCGAACAATAACACACGTGCTCATAACGAGCAAAATAACTCGCCTAATGTTTATCCTAGTGACATAGTTCCAGTGCCAGAACTAACAAAGAAGCCGGCAACTCGGGGAAGGAAATGTGGGCGTACTAAAATAATTACGTCGACGCCCAATAAGGAGGAATTAGAGCAATCAATTAATCTCTCAAAACAAAAAGTTATCCGAAACGTTTTCGATGAACCTGGACCTAGTGGATTAAAAAACAAAAAGCGTAAAGTCACAAAAAAATATGTCTCCTCTAGTTCTACCGATTCACAATCTGAAGCAGTAGTTGATGACTCATCTGATGAAGATCTGCCATTAAGTTGCTACAATAAAAAGCCAACCGGTGAAGATGTCCCATGTATTTTTTGCCTGGAAAATTTTTCCTCGAGCCGAAGTAAAGAAATATGGGTGCAATGCGTAATCTGCTATAATTGGGCTCACGAAGCTTGTACCAGTGCAGAAAAAGATGCTTTCGTTTGCGATTTTTGCGATTCCTAGATATACTTAGATATACTTATATATATACCAGTATACCGATGTTCTGAAGTTAAATGGTTTTAGTGAAGTTTTTTGCGTATAATAAGTCTATTCCATATTACCCGATATGCCCGTTCCATATTACCCTCCATTTTTTATTTTCCAACAAAAATGCATTTTTTTTTAAATGTTTTCGTAAAATTATCGAATATGATTTAATTTTTAATTTAGCACCTGCCACTCTTTGGAGATATAGTACTTAGAACTATTTATTAATGAAATATTGCAGCTCCAAACACTTCAGTTTTGATGTTACCGCTATACGAATAATTGGTATTCCATATATGCCGACTTTACTCTAGTATTTTTTTAAATCAATTTAAAAATCTCAAGTCAGGAAACTTAAAGACTAGACAGGGAAAATTCTGTATAAATAGCCGTGCCTTTCAATCACACAAAACGGAGATCCCAGACAAGTACATTTCCAGTGGACAGCTGGAATCAAAATGACTTTAAGCAACATATTGACAAAATTCTCCGTCCGCCCACGTCCCAAGATCTAGCAAAACAATATTACGTAGCCCAAATGCAAACCTGCCGATGGGCCATCCTATAATCTGAATATTATCATTTATCTGGAATAACATCTTTGAAATTTGACCGATTTTTTCACGCTTCTTCTAACTATAGCTAAAGATAACTAGGTATTCGAAAAGCAAACATAAAGTTATAGTAAATTCAAAGACTTTTGTCATTTTCATTAATAGTTTTGCCAGCAATACATCGATACACCACCATTAAGTAGACGAACAAACAGACCGGCCGACAGACATGCTAGACAAAATGCATGGACATGTATTCGTCAGAAGCTGTAGGTATCCTAAAAGATCTAATGAAACGATTTTGAAACTTGTATTCTCCTTCCCAGCCATACTTTGCAATCTAGATTAATTTGACACATAACGAACATTTTGCAAAAGAGGGACAGTATTCAAAATAATACATTTAGAAGTAAGCTTTTGTTGTAGCTGGATAAGTTTTCCTGCGCTATATAATAGTTTGGCCGCATCAGAATAGTCGGCAATTATTTAGCTGTTCGGGTGACCTAATTGGAAAATCGCCTACGCGTCTAGTGATACAGGAAAAATATTCTTGTAGCGAACAAGCTGTGTTATATACGGAATTAGGAAGAGCATGACGGTGCTTTCTACTGACATTAAACTCAATATTTTACTGATTAACTGTCAAGGGGGTGGATATTGGGAATAATTGTAAAACAAAAATTTCAGACAGAAGCTGCAAAAGGCAGTTGAAATGAGGTCCTCGCGTCCTGAAAAAAATGTTTAAATCACTGTCTTTGTGTATGGGAAGAAGTTGAAGAATTATTGAGGAAGCGCGAATCCTGTATGGACAGGAAGTTTTGTCAAAATCTAAACAAGATTAATTTTTTTAATTTAAAATATTGTCATTCTGAATGAATTCTGTCACCAGTCAAAAATTAGTTGTTTCGATCTTGCCAAAACACATAACGATAAGGAAAGTAAAATCCCAAAAGTGACAAAGTATGTGACCCTTACAATCACCCTATTTGTTGAGAAGCAGAAATATGCCATGCATTTCACATTCCAGATCCCAAACAACAACAAACAATAATTTTTCACAGAAAACCGTAGATCCCTTGAAAACTGAGGGCTGGGGAAAAATCACCCTCAGTTTCATCGATCGTCTTTCCGGACGACGTCCTGTTGACAAGAGAAAGGCCTCGCGTGACTGTATTTTGGGAATGAGATATTTTTTGGGTTAAGTGTCGCGCTAGATATGCGATCTTAAGATGGATGGCGCGTCATGTCTTATCAGTAAACAACATAAAAATCCAGCAAAAGATTGAGAGAGTTTCTGTGCAGTCCAGAAAATGAATATTTATAATGAAGGGTTAGATTTCCGTTGTTTGAAGTGATGTTGTACTACTATACCAAGGCTAAAGCTATTTTGGTTTGCTAGGTGGTGGATCTAGAATAAGGAATAATAATTCCTTGAAAAATCGACGCCTTTATAAAACATGAACCCACAGTTGCTACCATGCCAAAGACAAAAAAGTTTCAGATACTATACGATAACCCACCCAGTACTACATACCAAGATTTTCAAAAATTCCGGAGTATCTGCAGTCTCGATGAAGACTAGATATAATATATAAATCATGAATCTGATGTCACATACCAGGTGTTTCAACTGACCCTTACCATTGGGATCTCTAAAACTGTAAGTGATACGCAGTCGCTAAAGTTACGTATTAAGGTAACAAACAAGATGCCGGTTAGAAAGTTTCGAAATTCGAAGAAGTATTTCCTGAGAGAGGCAAAAACAGAATTTTCTCGAACTCTTTATTTTACTTTATTTGTAGCGGACTTCAAAATAAATTGCACATTGCACTGGATGGAATTTCAATATGACGTTACGTCTCCTTTTCTCCAGCATCAACTTTATTTTTTCTTAAGGATTTTTACACTGGTTGTTAGTTATTTCAATATAGAATTTCTTAGGTAGGCTTGAAATTATCAGATACTCATTTGTTTCGTATATTAGATTTCTCGCCAAATCATTTTTATTTTTTCCTGAGATAGGATTTTGCCACTTTTCTCCTCTACAAGATGGCGCAGTCAAATTTTCCGTTCGATGTATCTTCTTTCGACTTCCATCACCAACTGTTTTTCGTATGTACGCTATATTGGGATTTTGTACATGTAGAGGGACTTTTAAGTTCAGTGGTGTAGTTCGCCGAAGACTTGTTGTTCTGACGAAAATTATAAGAAAATAAAAAGGTATCATGAAACCTGACCCCAAAATGAGATTCTGTGATGGCAAAATTACCGCGATGCTTCGAGTTTGGTTCGCCTGTAACGAAGGTGAACAATTTTGCAATGAGTATCAAAGTTATGTCTTATCGAATTTGAAACATTTTTAGATACTTGCATTCTGCCAACACTTGTATCTTGGACAAATCGGATGCGTAGATTACGTATCTTGCATTTTACGTAGGGACTGACAAAAGGACTAGGTCAAATTTTAGTTTTCCAAATAGGACATTACATTTTTTTAGAGACGAAGTTGAAGATAAATGAGGGTCTCCAAATTTTGAAGGTATACCTAGTAATCCTTAGCTCCTGTATAAACTGTTAATATCAACATTATTTTAAAATTCTTCAGTAACTGTGATAATTGATACCACTGCATGGGAAATTCGGTCCCAATGATTGTCCCTAGACATTGTTTTTTGTTTTGATGCCTATGTACAGATAAAAGCAAATCATCAAATACAAAATATAGTCTAAAGCATCAAAAATCATGGTGTACCCAAAAAGTAACACTGCATGCAAAATATAATGTGTGACTAACCTTAATACTCCTTCTGTCCTCCTCTCAAGACATCCTAGACCTGAAATTATTCTATTCTAAATCAAATTTTAAGAAAAGTGTTTACGTAAAGCGATACATCATATTTTTTTAATATTTCTGAACAAGATTTCATTGTTGAATCAAAATGAAGGACTAAAAGTGATTGAT